ACTTTAGTTTCGGTTCAGAGGCGGAGAAGGGAGTCCTGCCGAGGGCAACATGCCGCAACTTGGCGGCAAAAGTACACAATAAATTTGCATGCTGGCTCACACACACACAGAGAGTGAGAGAGACTTACACACACACCTCCCCCCCATATACACCCCGAGGTTTTTATGAATAGAAATTGTTAGCACACAATAACAGGCAGACGGAGCGTGAAACGACAGGGGCGTCGCTCTAAAAAAAAGGGGGGTCGCAAGAGAGAGAGAGAGCCATGTGCATAATGCCTAATAATCCGCATATTGTAATATCTGTATTATACGACGACTGGCGGAGAGCGAATGTCATTATGTGGCCAACACCCAGGACACGATCCCTTTCCCCCCTTTTCTCCTTTTTGGCACACATAGAAATATTGTATAAAAATTGCGGCTTAATCACGACGCTGCAACACGAGCAAATCTGCAATATGCAATCTGCAACTGAAGCTGAAGCTGAATGCGAATGCGAATCCGTGGCAAATGCCGCCAGGCAACTGCCAAAGTGCCTCAAAAGCCAGTTTGGTATGTGCACAGTGGGACAAAATAGTCAAAAAACAATACAAACACTCAGGAAAACCGAAGTTTATATACCATTGCAGTTTCATATTAAATGATAGGATGATCATAATTAAATTAATTCCTTTAATAAATATTTATTGATATTTTTATATGACAATTTTTTCGATATATCAAATTTAAAAAATCTCATAACCAGGCCAAAAATGCTTTAATTTTAATTTGGCAAGCAAGTTTATGTTAGTTTTTAGTAGGTTAATAAATCTGCATACTCAATTTAAAATGTAAAATTTGTACAAATTATTGATCATTTTAACGATTATAAAATTTGGAAAAAATTGAAAATTTTTGAAACATTTTTATTTACTGCTAGAAAGTTTCGCCTGTTGATGCTGATCAAGAATATATATGATTTATAGGATCGGAAATGACTCCTTTACTTTCTTTTAAGCTTCCGCCTAAAATTAGAATACTCTGCAAGGATATAAAAATAATATAAATACATATTTTTTTCTAGACTAGTTAATTTGAGATTATAAATTATTAAAATATAAAATTATTGATCCTTTTCCAATCAATTTATATAGACTTTTGACGCAATGTAAGCTCTGCGTTCGTATCAATGTGAAGCTTAGACGACGCCTGCCAGGCTGCCACTGTCAGACGACAGAGTATGGCTGCCAGTAAGCTGTTCCTCTCTTAACCCATTCCCCCTTAACCCATTCCTCTCTTAACCCATTTCCCCCCTTAAGCCTAGCTGGTGCAACCCCAAAAGTTAACCCAGGATTGCCCCTTTGGCAAGGCTCCACGTGGCCGCCATGTCTGCATTATTTGTGCTCATATGTGGCCTGTGCCATTGGTTCCACCGATTCCACTGGGCTCCTCTGGGCCTCCAAATTCCCAGTCCCAGTCGCAGTTTCCAGTCCCAGTTTCCCGCCTCTTGCCTTAACCCTTGGCTAACTCTTATGCCCGCAGATTTGGGTTAAAAGTAGCTTCCCTTGTGTATTTAATAGTATTCCAGACTCGCCTTCATCTTTTGCCAGCTGCAATTGTTATGTGCAGAAAGGGTTGCAGCAGCCTGAAAAGTGTTGAGTTGCCCTCCTTAGGAACAAAAAAATATATATATAGAGATGAAGAAATATACATATAGAAGAAAAAATGGGAATGATGTCGCTTTTCTGCTTGGCATGCATTGCATTGGCAAAAAGGATGCCCGAAGTCAAAGAATTTTCCGCCTCGCCCCCCCCTTCAAGCATCAGATACTTTTGTATGCAAATTTCTCAGCTTTCGAGTTTTAGGGCGAGTTTTGGATTTCCATTTTCCATTTCTATTTGAGTTATGTAAGTGCACGTACTCCCTTTCAAATACCATTCGCATTCACATTCCCATTCATATTCACATTCACATTCCACTCCCGTTCAGAGCTATTTAATTTATTTGTTTAATCTTTTAAGTCTTTAATGGTACGGCCAATGAAATTGTAACAAAAAATAATTGTCTGAGCAAAACACAAGTTACTCTTGTTATTAATTAAGTGGCATTAACTTGGCAAATACCAAGCAAAGCCTTCAAGCTGAATCATTTCCAAATCATTGGCAGCACAAAAAATACATAAATTGTTGGCAGACCCCATTTTGGCCATTGAAATGTATACCAAAGTATTCCCAGAAATCGTCAACATCAATTATATTAAAAGGAAAATGTAGGTAAAGCTTTCAGAATTAATTAGCAGCAAATCAAGGAGGGAAAACATGACAATAAAAGACTTTATTTTTGGAATTGAAAAATTGTCAAGGTGAAGGTAAATTTTCGGGTAATTGTATGTGATGTTAAATATACAAAATATAATGTATAGAGATACTACTACTTCAGCTACAATTTTTATATTTTTTAATCGAAAATTTTTCAAAAATATATTTATAAATAAGAACTCCTAATAGTATTAAAATATAATAATAAAACTATCAAAAAGAAACTATAACTTCAGATAAAAAATATGTAATAAATGTTAAGTTTGCAATCTTAAAAACCCTAAAGAAATTCTAAGAAAAAACCCTAAGTAAAAATGCCAATGGAAACTGCAAAACTTGCAACATCTGCCACACATGCTACACCCTAAAAAAAAAATACAACAAAACAACAAAAGCCTAGAGAGTAAAGGTAATAAAAAACCTGGAAACCACACCTGCCAATATCCTCTAGCAAAATGGATGATTGCAAAACATGAACCGATTGCAATGGATATTGGTCAGCATTCGATATTGTTCGATTTTCGAGAACAATTAAAACTAAGTGAGACGGGTTGAAAAACAACAGCGCAATCACATATCATTAGATTTAATTGATTGCGCCTAACCAACCGAACCATCATCATCATCATCATCATCATCACCAGCAACAGGACATTTTCCCATTTTCCTATTATTTTTTTGGTGTTAGTACTTGCAATGGCGACCACAAAAGCGGATATAAAAATTGCTGTGTATGCCACAAAATTTGATTTTAATTTGAAATTGTCAGGGCAACGCCATTTACCAAGGGAGGAGAGTTCAAATGAAATTGAACACTTTACAAAATGCCCAATGGACTGCTATGCTTTCTCTCTCTCTGTCCCCTTTCAAAAATGTAGGTGGCAGGTAAAAGCAATTTGCAGTTAATTAGCAGACTAAGAGCCACACAAAAGGCATCATCTGTAAGCCGTTGAGAAGTGGACATTTGCCGCAAACTGGTTGCAACACAAAGATGAAAACTTCAAGTTGACCGCACTTAAGATCCCTTTTTGCACAGATTTTGGGCATACTCAAAAACAAGGCATTAATTTCAACCGATTTCCTTTGGCAACATTCAATTACTATTCCCTGGGATAATGCGGTAAAAGCGGGAAGAAACATAGAGAGAAATGGGAAGAGAGTTTCCTGCCAAAAACAATGTCAAATTGTCAGATAGATGGATGTTCGGTTGGCTGGCAAGTGATTAAATGCGTAGAACAGCATGGAAAATGCATTTTCCACAGCAAGGGATCCCCCCCCCCTCCGCCACTATGTGTAAATGGGGAAAATGAGGGAACGGCTGAATGGCCGGCTGACTCTGCATCCAACAAATTGACCCCTGAAGCATATGAAGTGGAAAAAAACAGGATCGCACAGCGGCCAGCAAATTATAATTGATGTTGCACTGTCAGAAAAACACATTAAAAATTCAAATAAAAATAAAAAAAAAACAATTACTAGTATTTGAATATACATAAAGCATCAACTAAAAACAAAGAGGGATTAATTTTTTCTGGTTAAAATGTAACATAAATAATTGGTTAAACAATTACTACAAAAAGACCACCTTATATAAAATAATATATTTCCTATTATCTTCACATAATTTTAACCAATCTTTACTATGTCTTCCAAAAATATATAAATATATTTATTTATCATCTTCAAAGTATTTTATATCTGTCAGAAAATAAATTAAAAAATAAGCTACAAATTAAAAAAAAAAAACGATTACTAGTATTTGAAATGATATATATACACAAACATAATTAAAAATCAAAAATATATTATTTTTATGGTTAAAATGTAACATAAATAATTGTACTAAAGGTTGAACAATGACTAGAAAAAGGCGACCTTATATAAAATTATATATTTCCTATTATCTTCAAATAATTTTAACAAATCTTTACTCTATATCTCTGTAATTTTAAAGCTTCCAATTATTTATTTAAGGTTAAGTCTGTCCTTAATTTTATTGAAAGTATTAAAAATTTGTATATAAAATCAAATACATTTTTTTTGAAATATTTATTTAAGCCACCTCATCTATATTATAATATTCAAACCCCTTTCTCCAAGTGTAAAATGTGTTAGGACCTCCATCCGTACTAGGGGCCCTTTTGGAAATTTTACAAGCATATTGATTCGATCTGATTCGGTTGCAATTTGTGCCTCTGTTACGCTCATTCCCCCACGGCAGAGCCCCCTCTTTCTCTCAGTGTGTGAACAGTGTCAGCTGCTGGGCCAGCCGTTATTTAACATTAATTTATGCATTACTAGAGCGCTTAAATTAATCAGCGTATGGCCAGAGCAGCAGCATCATCGAAAACAAAATTTAATGTCTATCTTTCTTTAAAAAAAATCAACCTCAATCGGTTGCAATTAAAACGAAAAGCGTAAAATTCATTAAGAGCTTAAAAGAATTAACACAACTAAGGCAAAGACAAAGGCAAATGTAAAAAAGGCAGTTGGATATACCAAAAAAGGGAAATGTATCTTTCATTTCAAGGGGGGTGAAAAATACCCAAAAAGGAAAGAGGAAAATAACAAAAAGGAAAACAGAGAAATATGTTTAAAGAAGGAGAAAGTGGAATCTTAATTGTTCTTAAGGGAAAATATTTAATTTCACACTTTACATATTTACTAAGCACATTTACGTTTATCTTTTTATCATTACAGAATCATCAGATAAATAAGCAGACGATATTTTGGTAATTCAAGGCCTGGAAATTTTGGATAAGTCGGTGAGATCTTGGAATATTATTATACTATTAAGGGATAAGAATTTAAATAAATATATAATTGAAATCTATTGGTTAAACAAGAAGTTAGATTTAGGTATTTTATGGTTCTTGTGATTCCTTTCTGCCTTCCTAACTGTGTTTTAAATGTTTAAAATAGATTTTCTCTTCTCTTAAAGCAGGATTTTATACGATAAATTATTTTATATTAGAACCATACATTTGTTTGTATTATTTATTTATTTAGTTATTTGTATAACTAAAATTGAAACATATTTAATATAATATAAGATCGCGTATAACTTCCTTCCTTTTTAAGTTTGATATATATGTTTGAAATATATTTTCACTTTGTTTTAAATAAGCTTATCAGGCATATTTTATTAAAATATATACTATATATTTTCTTATAATGTATATATCTATTGATTTATTTATTTGTTTAGATTTTCTACAAATCTCTGTTTATTTTGTTTATTTTTTTAGAACCTAGTAAAAACTTTCTGAATCAAGAACTCCACTTCAGTGAGTCTCCACTCTCACTTATTCAGCAGGAGAGTTCATAATGCCAATTTTGCTCTGGCCTGATGGTTCCTTCATCCTGCTCCTCATCCATCTGTCAGTTGTTCAGTGAGTCAGTCAGTCAGTCAGTCAGTCAGTTTGGCCAGCAAACTGAGCTGAGCCGAGCTGAGCTCTGGCGAATGATAAATGGCTGACATTGTGGATTGTAGGCAACATTAAGCGTTGTTGAAGCGCCGCAGATTGCAATCGTTGAGGCAGGCGCCCCTCTACCAAGTCCTTAACTGTAGAATGGACCCTGGAACCACGCCCCTAATCCCGCCCCCCTTTCCCCACTCAATGTTGGGTTACTTCCATGGTTTTTCATCTACCCCGTTTTGTCCAGGTGCGCGTCCCAGGGAATGCTGGAATTTTTTTACAAAATATTCCTTTGATATATTCGATGCAGAAAAATAAATGGATTTTAAATAAGAAAATTTTATAGTTAAATTGTGGCAGAAAAAGGTACATAGCCTGAAAATCTTTGACTAAGAAATTTCCCCCTTTTCACAGAAGCTTCTTTGACAAGTTTTATATTATAATTCAAACTAGAATTCGTTTAAGAATAGCTGGCATATTTTTCTTAAATTAATTTTATATTATATTGAAGTAATTCTAGAAAAATAAATGGACTTTAAATAAGTAAATTTTTATAGTAAAATTGTGGCAGAAAAAGGTACATAGCCTGAAAATTTTTGACTAAGAAATTTTCCCCTTTTCACAGAAGCTTCTTTGACAAGGTTTACATTATAATTTAAACTAGAATTCGTTTAAGAATAGCTGGCATATTTTCTTAAATTAATTTTTATATTATATTGAAAGTAATTCTAGAAAATAAATGGATTTTAAATATGAAAAATTTTATAGTAAAATTGTGGCAGAAAAAGGTACATAGCCTGAAAATCTTTGACTAAGAAATTTATATTTATATTGTAATTCAAACTAGAATTTGTTTAAGAATAGCTAGCATATTTTTCATAAATTTAATATTATATTGGAAGTAATTCCTTGATTTACAGAGCATCTTTTCGTTGAGTGTTAGTCAGACTTTTCCAAAGTTTACTATAACACAACTCACCTTTGGGCACACCGTCACTCAACCTTTAGGATTTTTCCCTGACAGCCGGCAAACTTGTAATTTGTAATGTCGAAAGAGATGGAGGTGTGGAGTTGCTGCCTGGTCTGGGGTCATGATTTTCAAATGAAATGCATTTCTGAACTTTTGCGGTGATTTAATGATGTGCCCCGGGAAAGTGCCTAGCTCCAAGGCACTTGAGAATATGAATCATTTGAATCGAGTGAGAGAGAATAAAAAAGCGACACGAGTGTGCAAGGAGAGGCAGGTGCTTGATTATAAAACGCTCGAATTGATTTGAAAAAAACATGATGGGGGAACCCAACTCAAAACCCTAATTCAAAACCAATTCAAAACCCAATTCAAAACCGATATTGTCAGTCGATGCTCTCATTGAATTTGCGGTTCTAATTAGCTGCAATTAAGTGATTAAAAGCCATCAGCCCAGACTCTGTGGATACTGATGTCGATCTGGCCATAATTCAGGCCTCACATAAAATTTCTGGTTTCCTTCTTGTTTTATGTTTATTATCATTTTTTTTTTTTGTTGCGCATAATAAATGCCAATTAATTATGACAAGAGCAGTTACAAAATGAAAGCAGCGAATTTCTGACAGATAAATCTGTAAATTGTCATGTGCTATGGAAATGCGGCCAGCAACAAAATATTGTGATGACTTTTTAATTAAAAACAATAAAATTGTTTGTCGTATTTCATATATGTATCGATTGGTTAGCAGGACTCATATTTTTGTATATTTTTCTATATAAATATATTTTACTTCTGCGTGTTTATCAATTCCGGACAAACGGCGACAGCCAAAGCCAGCATAAGTCCGATTATCGGTTCAGTTCAGTGACTAGTATGAATATATATATAAGTATATATGTCTATATACAAAGAGCTATAATAGTCATGGCCATTTTCCGAGAGGATTTTCAGTTTATCCCCGATTGATGGACTGCTGCTACCCCCGCATTTTGTTTGGCAAATATTTTTTGGCAATTTGATTGCGTTTTTATGAAGCTTCGACTGGCTTTGGCTTTGGCTTCAGGTGAATCATATTTTATAGTTTTTATAGCTCTAAATAATGTGGGTTTAGTATTAAATATAATTAATCTTATAAAAATAAATATACATTAAAAGAATATTTAATATTTTAAAGCTTTGATAGGTTTTTTTGACTTGTGCAATAAATTTTATTCATTTTATTATTTTTAATCTATTCTGGGTATAATTATTACAGTTAAGAGCTCGAAACACAGTGAAGGAGGCATTTCCGACCCCATAAATCATATATATTCTTGATCAGCATAAATAGGCGAATTTTTCTAGATATAAAACAGAGGAACAAATTTTTGAAAATTTTTTTCCCCATTTTTTTAAGCTATTTTTTCATTGTTAACATTTTAAAAAATTGACAAAAATTAAAATAGATAAAAAATGAAATTTGAGTATGCAGATTTATTAAACTATTAACAACTAGAACAGAACAGCTTTCCGAATCGAAATTAATGCATTTTTGGCTGAGTAGTGAGTTTTTAAAATTTTTATTTGTTGAACAAAATTGTCATATTAAAATATCGAATTATCGACTAAAAACGGAATTATAATTTTAGTCAGAAGCTTGAAACTAAGTTAAGGAGTCATTTCCGACCCCATAAATCATATATATTCTTGATCAGCATCAACAGGCGAAGCTTGCTAGCTATTTCCGGGCAAAAAAAAATGTTTTCAAAATTTTTCAATTTTTTTAAGGGGTTACATCCTTAAAATTTTCAAAAATAGTCAAAAAAATTGAATTTTTTTCAATTTTAAACTGAGTATGCAGATTTATTAATGTAATAAAAACTAACATAAAACTGCATTCTTAATAAAAATTAATGAATTTTTAACCTAGTTATGAGATTTTTAAAATTTGATTTGTCGAGAAATTTGGCATATAAAAATATCGTTAAATATTGATAGAAATAATGCTTTTCGTTTCGATAATAAAAATGAATTCCAAAGTGCTATAGTATATAAACTTCAACTTTCCGAAGTTAGTTTCCTTTCTTTTTGTTTTGCTTATATAGATATGTTCCCTTAAATGCTATATATGTATTTCCCCTTTTTGAAATTGCATGGATCAAGAATACTGATATTTTCCGTATAATATCTTATAGATATTGCATTTTAACTCAATCTACCTAACCATTCCCATCTTTAGCTAGATACACACTTATATTCCCACACTTATATAATATATACAAATATTACCCATACGCCATGTTGGTCCCTGCAAATATTACCCATACGCCATGTTGTACACCATATAGAGAGGGAAAATGGAGGCAAAAAAAAGGCAATGTCCAGTTATTAGCTGACCAACTGAGTTCTCTTCGATTTTGGCTCAACTCAGTTCAGTTACCAAAAAAAAAAAAAACAGAACTGGCCGGCAAACAAATGACCGTTTTATGGACGGCAATCAAACACAAGACCACAAATACTTAAACTTATGTATTGAGGGGGGAGGGGAGAGGGAAGGGGCACAACACACACACACACACACTATGTAGACGATTGAAAGCAGCAGCCAGATATGGACGCCAACGCCATATGTATGCGCATTGGATCCCTGCCATCGCCATCATCATCATCATCATCATCATCATCGTGGCTTGGCAAAAGTTCCAATTTTTCACAGAACTCGACCACAAAATAAAAAACACATTCTTATTACAATCGTGGCCGAGTGGCATGCCAAAAAAAAAAAAAGAAAATAAGAAAAAGTATGTTTTCATTCCCATAAGTGAAAAAAAGGAGGAGAAGATCGGAAACCGAAAACCCAACTGACGCACTTATTTTGCGCTTTGAATCCAATCACGTACCAATTTTCCAAATTTAACCTTTTTGAGCCGGGGCTCAGTAGCTCCGACTGCCAATAAAAACCATTTGCCAGAGTGAAATTTATATGGGCGCGTCGATAAAAAAGAAAGCAAGAAAGAAGAATGTATTTGGAAGGAGCGAAAAAGGATGCTATGAGTGAGTGCGAGGGGTCAAAGGACCACCGCAGGCCAAATGCAGGCAGGCCTTTTGAACCACTTTCAATTGACCAACGGCCCAGACTCTGGCATTTTCAGTTACCAATATGGTAAAATTCCCACTTCTGGCTTCTCTTCAGCTTTCTGTTATATTTAAAACCAAATAAAATGGATATATTAGTGTTTATTTGGTTTTAAAACAAAGGTTTTATTACTCTTAGCTCTCTACTGTTGAGAATTTTATGTGGTATGTGCAATTTGTTTCGCTTAGTTCACTTTACTTGTGCTCTTTTTAATTTTCCTTTATTTTTATACAATCTATATATATATAAAGATATATATATGT